TTCCATCCAAATTTGTGCCGCTTGTTTTTATTTTAAAATGGAAAAGGAATGAAAAATCCACCAGCATCACTGGCATGCCCTAGTTAGAAACAGAATAGAAGTGAGCTCGGGTTGTGAATTACTAACTGGACTGGGCAGAGACGGACAAACTTGATCGCATGGGAGCTAGGACTAGACAGCATCTCAACGGGTGTTGATGCAGACCTGTTTGGTTAATGTTGTACTTGAGGAACCTTCGATTTGCATAGCTGTGAACGACTGGTTTTGCAAAGTTTCAAGGTATGTGTGCACACATACAAGGTTTAGTTACAAAGATTTTCTCTTCCAAAGAGTTTATGCCAAATTTTATCCACGGTAATGCGCGAGATCACCGAAGGAAACAAATCACTTCCGCAATGGGGCAAGCGCTAGCTATGTTTCGATTTCGTCAAGTACATTTCCCTTGCCTTTACTCGTGCTGCAACGGCTTGAAATTCCCCACAGCGTATCTGAATTGATTCCATAAGTCTCAGCTCCTACCTTGCTCGATCCAAAATTTATGAAGTAGCTTCGTTTATAACAGAAATGAAAATCGGTTCCTACAATAAGTGCAAAACAACATCAGCTTCAAAACACCAACTGATTAGCGTGGTGCTTGCTTTTGTCAATTCGCTTACGAAGGTGATCACTGTATTTGCATTCTTCAACACACAGCTTTATTTTTTATTATTCGAGAAATGACATCAACAGCTTGATGCAAACACCAGATGCAAAGTCTGTTAAGATGTGATGAGTAAATTTTATAGTCTTTAACAATGACTATGAACATCGCTAAACACATTCCAAAATATTCTGGAATGTTCTATCACATTACTTTGCGCATATATGTACTTTCTGTCTACACTCAAACATGATGACCAGACAAAAACCTTTAACAATTTTCAGTCTTTGAAAAATTAACCATTGCTGATTTATTCCAAATTGCTCAAGAGAAATCATGAGATTACTTGTTGATGATATGCATGCAAACATTTTTTCCTCTTAAGTCATTTCTATGTTGTGTCATGGCTCACTGGTTCACTTGCCTTTGTCTTGTTCCTGAAGTAGTTGCACTATCCTTCAAGAACTTGCCTCCAGCTGTTAAACTCTGTCACAAATAATGTAATCAGGTATTTGTGCTCTTTCTCTGTTATGTACAGTCAATAGCAGTAAACACTGCACACTAGTGGCTCAGGCTTGTAATCCTCTCTGTCTTTCTTACAAACTGTTGCATTAAACTCTCGAGAATTTTGTTCAGGGCCCCTGGTTCATTCTTTTCTATTTAACTTTGGTGCCATCTTTAAAATGCCAAGACCTCCAGACTTTTAGCCAGTTGTTGTTTTTCTTTTTTGCTTTGTGGGTTGTTTTTGTTTCAAGCATTCTCCTCCAAACTCTGAATTTTTAATGTTACATTCTCCTCACCTATCTGCTGCTTGGTTTTAATGTGCTATATTGCAACTTTCTTGTTGGTCAATTTGATTAAAATTTGTTGTCACTCTACTTCAACTTTCTGCACTCAATTTCAACTTTCTGCACTGTTTGAGGTATGTTAATGTGTTCTCAGCATATGAACATGCTGAAATTTTTACATGCTTATATTACTAGTTGGTAAAGAAACTTCAAATTGTCTTTTTAAAACCAAATTGGTGCAAATTGGTTCTCCAGATCATGTGTATTGTAGGTAGTGTCAGGTCAATAGAATGATTGATATAGTGGTTGACATATCAGTTCGTTGTTGGTCGATAGTCAGTCAATAGTTGATAGTCTCGATGATCAGTTGACAGGTATCTAATATCTTGATCAAGAAATGTCAATACATTCCACTGGTATGTCATGGATACTTTACCTTTACCTTTACCCAAGTACGCATCAATTATTGGTAGATAGTTGGTCAAAGGCCTGTTGATGCATGCCAAAAACTTCATTTATATTTCACTTCCAGCCAAGCCACTTTGTAAAGAAAATAGAATGACATTATTGGAAAAGGTAATGAAAATTTCAAAATGTCTTCAAGTGCTGTGACCAGTTTTTCTAGCAGTTTCTTGTTCGTACATTCTTCTCAATCTTCTCTCATAGGCAAATCTGCATGGATCTGTAGGATTTTGTTGGGATGGTACCAGTGTTGTGACAAATAGGGTCAATGTTGTCTTGTATCTCTTCAGAGGAAATCTTCCAGAGTTGGCTAGTCGCTGATGTTAGTTTCGAAACACGTAACTTGTGTACTTTTCTGTTAAGTTTGTTCTGGTCTATTATTTCTTCATTGGTTAATGATTATTACTTAATAAGTTTTTTATTTCAATCAGTTTCATTTAAGTACATGTACCAGATATTATATTTCATATTTCATCGCTATAAGTTGCTGTCGATGCCATCAATTTTGTCTGCTATTCACGTACGATCCGCTATCGGCGATTTACACTCAATTGCAAAAATGTTGACACCTTGAAAGCATAAACCGTGAACGATGAGACCCGACGGATTTGTGGGTAGTGTTTAAACAATAACCTCATTTCCATCATGATAATCAATAATTTACTATTCTTATTCTTTGCAATAAAAAATACATTGCTGGAAAAAAAAGTATGCCCAAAGCATACTCGGACCATTGGGTCTCATCGTTCACAGTTTATGCTTTCAAGGTGTCAACGTTTTTGCAATCGAGTGTATCTACAATCATTAGGAGCTAGACCAAAGTAAGTTTTAGGCTAGCGTTACATTTCTCAGGGATATTTTCTCAGTTTAGTTTCTGCTGCATTTTCTTTTAGTTCGAATCACACAAATTCAGCTACAACATTACCATGAATTGTAACTATGCTATATTCAATCTACTTTGCCCTCTTCATCTGTGATTTCATACTGATCTCCTTATTTTCGTTTGTAATTTTGATTATGCACTTCATTTGATTAAACCGTGATTTATATTGTGCGTTTGGATTGTCTTCTCCGCTACACTAGTAACCTTTGAAGGTTACAGCTGAGAGAAGTTAAGATTAAAGTCTGATGAGCATTGTCATGTATCCGCCGATATATTGGTTGAAACTATCAATAGCACCCATGATCCAGTTCTCCTAATATCAATCTAAACATTCATTTGTTGTTGCTATAATTTACGCTTTGTTATTCTTTCAATTGAATACTCTGACATGTAGAAGTAGGTGCCAAGCTATTGTCGTTTGGGCTTGGGTGAATTTTTATAACATTGGACAAATTTGTTTAATAGCCATTTCCAGCTTTGATTATAATTTAATGCATGATTTAATAGTTTTAGGTTTAAGATGTGTGAAGTAATTCCATGTTCTGCACTTACTATGAGAGTTGTGCAAGATTTGTGCAAAGATTGGAATATTTTGACTTTACATTTCCCATTCTTTAGACAGTGTGATCTAATAAAATAACATGGCCTCCTCTGTAATCTTGGCACTTACTCATGCTTACTTTCTTGGTTTAATTTTTCTGGCATTCAAAGATTTGAAGGAAATTATTACTTCATAGAAAAATATCTTAAAAAATTTGAAATTTCAAAAACGGTGAAATTTCAAGTAAATAATATATGATATTGTTCATCTTGTCATGGCCCTGTTCATGAAAAAAGGTGGTAACACTTTCCCTCTTGTAGTAGGGAAATGCTTTATGTTTCCAGTTGACAGACTGTTGACCACTATATCCTTTCCCTTTGTAATGCAAGTTCAAGTTGATTTGTGAATGAAATCATACATTTTCTTTTCCCTCTATTGTCATTGTTTACTTACATTTTAAATTCTCTGGTACATTTTACGCACATAGAAAGTATTGGATTGTAAGTGTATAATATTGGTGAATAAATTTGCGCAACAAGTTGATGTTGTGTTTCCAAGAAAATCAAAACTTTTCCATGTTACCCAGAGGAACTGTCAGTTCATATATACACTGTATTTAGCATGCTGAAAGCATAAATTTAAGGGTGGGGAGGACGGCTGTGAGGGAAGGTTGGGAGTTCAGCATTTATAAATGAAATTGCTGATTCACTTGGTCATGGAAATTTTACTATTTTTCAAGAAAAATCCTGGGAAAAATGAGAGAATTTTAAAATCATATGACTATGGCAACCATTTATTATCCTTCCAAGACCATGGCTAATTTTGCAAACATGCTCTTAAATAGGTTAAAGTTGTGCTATACTTTCAAGGTTTGGACTTGAAGAAAAATACCACTTGCAAAGCTGTTCTTGTGTTCTTTCGGCCTATATTTATGAATCATAAATAACTCACTGGCATAGTACATACACCTGTATTACTTTACAGTTATGCATATTAAGGACACTTTTTGCATTTATTTAGTAAATTTATTTAGGCTTTAAAAACTGAGAAAAAGGCTGACATAGTATATTTTTTTGAGAAAAAGTTTTGAAATAAACTATCAATTTTCTAACAAACAACATGAAGTTGTAATTACACTGGTTTTTCTTGACCCATCCACAAAAGTCAACATTCCAAAGCAATGGACAAGAAGATCCATTTTAAGAAACGTCTACCGCTAAATCCCACTATTATTTTATTGTTGTTATTATTATCATTATTATTATTATTATTATTATTATTATATATGTGGATTTCTGCCACCTGGCAATTTTACCACTGGATTCTAGTCAGTATGTTGAGGATGAGGAGACACTTACCTCCCACAGTGTCAAGCTCTGCCCAGGAGTATAAATGAATATCTAAAACTATCATCCATGGGGAACACTTGACGAATTATAGATTATGCTGTGGAAGGGGCTTGGGAATGGGGGGTTATAAATTCCTGTGATAAAACCAGGTTAAGTTCCTGTAATACTTGGCCACAAGGCCTATGGCAGATAACCTATATTTCCTAAATAAGTAAAAAATTAAGTTTGAATTAATTGTAATCAATACTGTATCCTTATGTTTTGTTATCTGCTTTCCAGGGATCCAGTAGCTTTCACTTTACATGCCTGATGGGAAAGTAGAACACTTGCTCTACTGATGGAGAGTAATAGGTGTGGTCAGACAATGGAGGAGTCATCTGATGTTGTAGAAGTCATAGTTATACCTGATGATCCTCCTTCATCACAAGACATTACTGTTCCGTCTGTGTCATCCACATTGTCTTCTTGTTCTTCGTCATCAGCTTCAAGAGTAACTGAAAATTCACAGTCACTTGCAGTGCACTTTGACTCTAGAACTTACCCCACAGACTGTCACATAAAATCTGGTGTGAACAAACCTCCACAGCTACCTATGGACAATAGGAGGGAGACTCAGACAGCAGGGGAGTCAACTGTCAACACTTCTACTGCAATATTCAGACCTTCGAATGTACCAGCTTTTCCATCATCACAAGCACCAAGTACTCTGACACAATCAACATACCCAATGCCCAGAGGGTCTGCAGCTTCTTTACCAGCAAATGTGGTGAGAATTTTACTCTTGCATGTTGTATTTTGACATCAAATCATCTAGCAGGTCACCAGTCGTTTTGTACCTGTGCATGGTCATTTCATACCCAATCATTTTGTATCCTCCTAGGTCGAGTGTGTTTTCCATTGTTACATATGATTAAAGTAAGGTGGGTTTCTTATTTTAAATAGCAATGTTACCCACATTAAATAAGTTTTATATATTTGGCATCCATTTTTGGCATGCAGCCACCAAAGAGAGAAAAAATCACTCTTACACTAGTTAATTGTTATTGTTAAAATAGTCACAGGTATAAACAACACACTGTTCTATTAAAGACATCACATTTATTTTGTGTTATAGCCAATAATATTATTCACAACAGAATTTTCTTTTTATCTTACTTGCTTGACTTCACTTACTTGTTATACACAACAAGTGACATCTGTTCAGACACTTGCATGTGAGGTATTTCAAATGAATGTTTATTGGGATGGGTACAAATCAACCAGTAGTTTGGTTACAAACCAACTCAAACTGGGTACAAATCTACTGAATTTTGGTGAGAAACAATCTTAGGTACAAAACCACTTGATGCCAAGTAGCATGAGTAGGGTTTTTAACATTAAATGTCTTGTCAGTAGTTTTACAGAATGAGTAATTTTAGCAACATCCCTCCTTACACTCTGGCTGTTTTTAATCTGAGTCTGAGACAAATCCAAAGCACTTCTTCCATGAAGTTCAGTGAAAAACCACAGTAGTTTATTTACTCTTTGTTTCCTCTTATTTATTTGCTCTTTGAATAACTTCCTTTCTTTCCTTAAACTTGTTAGTTATTTTCCACATTTGCCTTCAGTTTGGTCTTGGTTTGATCTTCTTCTGAGTTTGATTGTGGTTTTCATTTCTGCTTGTCTTTTGGCAGCTTTTGTGTGGTTATTTCTTTTCCCTTTTAGAGTTCTTCTCTAATTACATTCTCCATTAGTATTTACTGGTTATTATTTATCTGTTTTATAATTCATGCTTCCTTGACATTGCATGCTTATCAGAATTAAATCACTCACATGACTGGCTTATGGAGCCGATTGAGTTCATTGGTAATCAGTTATCAATAGCTTTGATAGATCTAGCTCTTGAGACAGTGCACCTAAGGGAAGAGGAATTTGAAATGAATAAATGGAATGCAACTTTAAAATATCTTTGCACACATTTGAATTATTCTGTGATGTTGATGTACAGTGCAACACCACCAACTCAAACTTCCAAGGGAAACAAAAAACTGTAGAAGTTAAATGTGGTTTGTGTCATGTTAATAATTAATTTAAGGAATCTTGTTTTTACCTTTCCTGCACAATTAACAGTCATTTTCATGCATTTAGACTGTTTTATAAGAGCTTTTTTACAAGTCTTGTTTATTTAAGTTATATGTATTTCATTTTATGTTCTAACAATTTGACATTATAATCAACCAACATTTTTTCTTAAAGTTTGAGTTATTACGGTGAATTTGAGGAAAGGGAAAGTCAAATTAGTTTTAGTTTACATTGAGTTTGAGTTAAGCAAGTTTGAGTTAGCTGATGGTAAATGACTGGAAAACTGGAATCAAACCCAAGGGAAATTGCATCTTGTTTAAGTGGGTGGGGGTTTGAGTCAACCAGGTTCAGGTAAAAAGGGTTCTTCTGACAGTGCATCTGTTTCTTTTGTTTCTAGGCTTCTTATTCAAGACCTTTGCCATTCTGTGCAGTACAAACTGACTCAAGCAGTGTTTCCATGTCAGTAGGTGAGTTGCTCCTAAATATGAGAATGTGGAGACAATGCTAACTTATAACCATGCTTACACCAGTGTATTTTACAATATAATACTCCAGAATAACATCTCATGAATCTAGTATTGCATTTCACATCCTGACCGTGAAGAAATACCTTATGATTAACCCTTTCTATTGCACTTTTAAAATTCTCAAATCTGATCGGTTCACTGCATTACATTCATGCTTTCATTATTACTTTACGGCATTCTTCTCCCCCTTAGCTTTATGGCTTTTAACAGCCAGCTGTTTGATCTGATAATTATCTTAAATCTTTGTTTATCTCTGGTTTGAATGTTCCTGTTGATTTATTAATTGTATTGCCTGTTGTTTTCTGACATGAAGTGGTATTATTCTGCCTTTTTGCTTTTGCTTTTGTTGTAGTTGATTAAGTCTCCTATCTTTTGTTGCACTTTCCCTGGCAACTTCAAAATGTTGCTTCTATTTTCCTCTGAATTGAACTGCGCAACAGCGTCATACTTTTGCAAGATGATGTTTTTCACCAAATTAGAAGCCAGATGCAAAAAATACCTTAACTAACTAAGTAAAGGTAATTTGAAGGGAGAGAAAATTGATAGAAGTCTACTCTGCAGCATAGTTATATTCTATTTTTCCCCTCTTGATTTCAGATCTTCTTATAGTTTGCCGTGTCCCAATGTGGAAGTTAAATTACTTAACAGATGAAATCCTCTTTTTTGCAGAAAAAAGAAAGAAGAGAATGTCCCCTGGCTGCAGTAACCAGGATCCTAAACAACCCAAAGTTGCATCTGTGGACTTAGCAGGTTGATTGTTGTACATATTGGCTATGATTGAATCCTAATACTATATATTTTTTTAATTATAATGCTGTTGAATAGAAGATTCAAGGTCATCAGAAATTTTGTGTGTGAGATTTAATTTTAGGAGATGAGAAGGGCTGGCCGAGTTATAAAAAACTAAGTTACATGGTAATTTGTCAATGTGAAGTTGATGAAGATGAAGAAATGCACTTATGATTAAACCTCAATATTGCACTTTTAAAATTCTTAAATATGATTGGTTTGCTATATTACATCAATGCTGTCATTATTACCTAACAGCACACTTCTCCCCCTCAGAACATTTTGTGGCTTTTAACAGCTAGCTGTTGGATCTGATTATGACCTTAAATCTTTGATTATCTCTGGTTTGAATGTTCCTTTTGATTTATTAATTGTATTACCTGTTGTTTTCTCACATGAAGTGGTATTATTCTGCCTTTTTGCTTTTGTTCTTGTTGACTAAGCCTACTATCGGCTTAGTCACAGGGAGCACAGGGGCTTGGGATACATGATTTAATTCATTATTCAAACATTAAAGCTTTGGCGAGTAGCACAGATCTAGATGATGCTACATTGGAGCATCTTGAATGTGCTCCTGGCTTAAGTCATGTGTTGGGTTATCTTATTATCTATTGCTGTCACTTATTACAGGGGTCAGTTACTTAAATCTAACCAGTAGGATTTGATTTCTAAATTCTTTGTCATCTTTGCTTGTGGTGGTCCTGAGAACTGATTGGCACGATTGAACTAGGTTGAAAATGTTTGTTTCCTATGATGTGATCTGTTTATCTCTTGGACAAGACCCCAGTAATAGAACTTATTCCTTTCTTTAATAAAACTAGGCACACCAAATAATGATGAACTACAGGAATTAGGCAAAAAAATTGGTGTCAAGTGGGGTACGCTTGGGCGTTGCCTGGGAGTGGAGGAGCCAGAACTAGAGAATATAGAACAAAGACACAAGGATTTGGAGAAGAGAGGGTACGCCATGTTAATGCACTGGAAACAGAAGAATGGTTCTGAGGCAACTTATCAAATTTTGAAAGCTGCTTTACAACATAAACTCGTGCAGCGCAAAGACTTAGCAGAGCAAATTTGTGACAATCACGGTAATTATTTTCAAAAACTTTAATTAATTAGAAATAATTGAAATGATTTATTCCGTGACAGTGAATTTTGTACTAAGCAGACGCTGGCCAAAGTTTGGTTTCCTTTTCCCATGTTTACTGTAAACCAAACCTGCTTTAAGAGGACATCGCTATTAAGTGAGGACATCGCTATTAGGTGAACGCATGCAGACACTTAAATTAAGCCCATCTGTGACCCAAAACCAGGCAGTTAAAATATTTTATTATCAGTGTACAAATGATGAGTGGGTTGGGGGGGAAAGGGGGTTATGGTGGTAGGTTGTTTAATTGTCCATTAACAGATTCTGACGTCATACCTTAAGCCTGAGACCCAGCTGTAAACAATTAGTCTTAAATTGTACATGCCATTGAAATGTATCATGGGTGAACATTCACCGTTTTAATGATTGTTTTTAATCGGGATTTTGTTTTCTTGAAACAGACATACCAGACGTACCCAGAAATCATTTTGATGTGAAAATCTGCCGGCGTAAACTTGCAGAGCATTACAAAAGAACCGCTACGGTGCCAACTTCTGTGTGGTCTAAGAAATGTGCCGTGAATATTCACGAGATCTACACTCGACTGTCCTTGGTGAAAGAAGAACAAACCCCAGCTGGGTCATCACAGGCTGGACTGAATCACTACACTGATCTGCTCACTGAAAACAAGAACGGATTGCCTTCAAATAGGATACTCTTGCAAGGGCAGACTGGAATTGGGAAGAGCACGTTTGTGAAGAAACTGGCTATGGACTGGGCTGAACTTGACGAAAACAGGTTGACAGATGAACAGAGAGCTATCCTGAAGAAGTTCGAGCTTGCTGTTATTATTGATCTCAAAAAGGTATCTAAATACCAAAACCTCAGAGATATCATAAGCGCCTCCCATATTTTTGCCGATGAGGACACAGCCACGAAGGACGGTCTGCTGAGTTACATCACCCACAACCAAGACAAAGTTCTCCTCGTTTTTGATGGATACGACGAATATCGTTTCGGAAGCAACTCTGAAATCTTTGAGATATTCAAAGGACACAAGCTGAGAAACTGTTGTGTGTTGATAACAACTCGAATTTCCAAAGCGGATGAGCTGAAAGAGTTTAAGGACGTGCATGCTGAGATCACTGGGTTCAGTAGAGAGGACAGCCACTCCTTTATGGTCAGAATGCTTGGTGACGAAACACAAGCCTACGCATTATATGGTCATCTTTGCAAGCGAAACCTGTACGATCTGGCGAGAGTTCCGCTACTTCTCCTGTTCTTTTGCACTTTGTGGAAAAAAGGAAGCGCACAGAGCTTTCCTGACTCCGAAACAACATTGTACATTGAAATCGTTCAGTACGTTTTGAATCATAATGCAGTGAAATGTTCTCCTGCTAACTTTCGCAAAGTTGAAGATTTCAAAGAGATTCTGGCTGAAATTGGAAAGGTGGCGTTAGAATGTCTTATGGAAGACGATCATGTATTCGAGTATGATCAACTGTCCCATGCCATCCGGATTTGCGAAGAAAGTCGGATTATAGGCTTACTTCAAGTCAGTGAGTACTCAGAGAATCTTCGACCAGCAGGGATGGTATCGTTTATTCACAAGAGCATACAAGAGTTCTTAGCAGCGTGGTATATTAACTACAGATGTGTCTCTGAAGGAAATCTCGGTGAAATTAATGACCGCACCCGAACTTGGGACGACTGTAAATCCTTAGAAAATGTTTTTCAATTTGTTTGCGGTTTGTCTGATGATGGAGCAGTGAAAGTTTCTGAACATTTGAAATCGGTTAGAATTTCTGATTCAGAACTGGATTTGTCAAAAATGATACCTGATGGGACAGACGAGCCACTGTGTGACATTACATGGCAGCATCGCCGTTTCTTTACCCTGGTAAATAGTTTATTTGGTGAAGTTCAATCCAAAACTGAAGCCTTAAGACATTATTTAAATTGCACTGATGGGATCATCTTTGTTGAGGAAGGATCAGTTCGTGAAATTATACCCGAACGGAGAATTTTAAATGGAATTACTCTTAATGGTGTGGTTTGGTTTGGAAAAAACATTTTTGGTCAAAAGGCGACGAAAATATACGAGTCGATCGAGTTTCTCGATTGTTTGGACGTTCCCCTTAGGATGACTGAGAATTCAGTGGTTGTCGCAGTTGGGGAATTTTTAAGAAAGTTTGAAGCTATCAGATGTGCTTCGCATTCGTGGTGTAATTTCACGTGCATTATTCATTACCATAACGGCCAGGCGTTTTTTTACATCACTCATTTGTACCTGTATTGTAATGACCACGCTGACTTACTTGATGTCACCAATTTGACTTCCACTCCATCCCTCTCCACAAGTTCGTCATCAGAGGGATTCTGTTTGAAATATCTAAGCTTTCTTAACATTTATACATATGTCAACGAGCAACCGATGAAATGTCTTGTTACCATTTTTAGAGATTGTAAGAATTTAAAAAATATTGTATTTCCGAGTGTAACTAAACGTATTTGTGAACTTCTTCAATATGTACCAAACCCCCGTACGTGTCGGGTAGAGCTTGGTTATTTACTATTATCTACTTTTGGCAAGCCGTCACTGACGTCAGCCGACGTAACGAAGCTCGCTGGTTTGTTACCACAGTTTAAGAATCTCGTCTCCCTTAGCCTTAAGTTGAATGACTGTTGTGCTGAAGCAGTAAACAAACTGGTTTCTAGTATCACGCACAAGCCTCTTGAGCAACTGGGACTGTATGGCATTATACTGACTCCAGTCACAGCCGCCGCGCTTGGTCGGTCAATTTCTGAAATGTCGTCCTTACGTAAGCTCTCGATATCTGGGCCGAGAAGAGGGTTTCTAGAAACAAACGAGATTGAGGCATCACCAACAGGATTTGACAGAACATCTCTGGTTTCACAATTATTTACGTTCAACACAGGAGGTTGTCGTTTCTTACCCAGTTTGCGTGAGTTAGAACTTTCGCGTTTAAATTTGAATGAACGGGGCTTACGTGAGCTGTTGGATAATTTGAAATTCTTCTCAGAGCTGAGATGCTTAAGCCTATATGGCAATCCACTGGGTGACGAGCACACGGTTCACTCTATGGTGAAAAAAGCACTGCCTCGGGTTCATGTTTTTTATTTGTAACGCCAAGTTCATTCACCAAGTGAAGGACACAGACGTTTGCACTGACAGAAGGAATGATTGTCTTTAGTATCGCGTCACTTAAGTATCACGTCTGCCACTTACATTGCCTGACGTCATGGAATGTCAATTGTAACAACAGGCAATGGAACTTGTCTCCAGCTACTTGTTAGATGACTCAAGTTTACATTTTATTTTAGGTTAGAATCAAGAACTATTAATTAATGTTTTAATTTTAACGGAGAAAGGTTTGAATGTATGAAAAACTTTCAATAGGTAATTAAAAATTCATGGAATTGGATCAGCCTTTCCAAGTTTTATTCATTTTTATTTTGGTACGTGAGAGGAGCGCATAATGTCGAGCGCGCGGAGCGAGAGTCCTTGCGGAGCACAAAAAACGAAGAGAATAATGTTCTCGTCTAAGAGCTAATAAAAAGACGGTTTCTCGACTTCTCCTCACGTCATTACCATATCTTTATAACATTTTCCCTCACGTCACTACGAAATTGCGTGTCAAGTTTAAATCAATACGAGTCTGCTTCAAATAAGCTTAAATTCATTTTGTCTCCATAATTAGTGAAGGCAAATATGTAAACAAGAGCAGTTTTTATATTTAAAAAAAAAGTATTTTCAATGCGATCATAGCATGCAGATACGTGGACGGGCTCTGAAAACAGTGCTCTAAACGATGAGCTAAGACAAAGTAGATGGTCTGTGAACAGGTCACCATAGGATGTTTTCTTTTAAAATTTACGTTAAAAAAATAGCATTTCATTGCATCCTACCTTAAGACTAAAATTGAAAGATATTGATGTAGAACAGTTTCCTCCATGGTCAAAAATAGTATAGTTCCTCAAATCGGCATGTCAGTTGTCCATAGTCTACTTCATACTTCTGTCATCATCAGGGAACACAGAGGGAGAGACTTTTTTTTGAAAAAAAAAGGAAAAAAAAGACACTTGTCCCACTAAGCATGCCTTCACCCCCCTGCATTGTTGGCTTAAGGTGATGGGTTTGCCTTAAGCTTACCCCCTCCCTCCCCTACTCAGAAATTTGCCAATTGACTTAATGCACGTGAAGAGTGCTTGTAACTATTAATAAAGGGTGTAAGTTTCTAAAGAAACCAAGGTGCTGTGTCGGGGTAGATGGGGAGTATAACAAGATAATTTTAGTTTCACCAACTGAGTTGCTTATGTAAATTGGCTTTCGTAAAGAGTTTCTAAAGCTGTTTTTTGTTTTTCTGAAGCCTCTCAGCAGGCCAGCCTTAAAAATCTGATTGACTGTAATGAGTAAAGCTTTAAACCACAGTAAAAAATGTTAAGGAAGGCTGTAGGTTTGTCTGACCGTAGTCAAAACCTTGGGTACTGTTTCTTCCCATATAGACCTCCCAACCAGTAATTAGCATTTATATATGCCTGACTGCTTCTTTTGCAAGGCAAAAAGCTCCCCAGAGGACTCTATCAGAGTTTCTTGGGTAACAGCTTTCTTACCAAATTTGTTTTCTATTTTTCTAGAATAAACAAAAACAGCTGTTCTTCAGTAACCCAACCAAAATATGGGGAGTTATAGAGGTGTACTCCTTGTTGGTATATCCCATGTCCAGTGTAGTATCTAAATTTCTCTTTCATTCCCCACCTGGCCTGCATATTTATACCAAAACATAATATTATTGCTATTCTTAATATAAAATTTGTGCCACAACAAAATATGGAGGAAATAGTATTCAGTGCAACATCACTTTGAGCACACAAGTGCAACTACCATTTTGATTTCATATTAGATGTTTATTACATTTTCATCATTTATAGCATAAAATTATTTTATTTTTGATTGAAAACTAATTTTCATCTCAATCAAATCTCCACTCTAGCCATGAAATACAATTCAGCAATTGCTACAATGAATGCCAGCAAAACTCCAATAATCACTCGCTGAAACAAAAAGAAACAATAATGGTCAGTTATTTGATTCCAACCAGGTCAGGGATTACTCAGTTCACTGCCCTCTTTTAGCTGAACTGTCAGATTAAAAATCCCTTTGAATTCTCCATGTTTGTTGACAAGGGTTCATAGGTTAATTTTAGACTGTTATTGACCAAAAGTTACAACTGAAGAGGTTTTCCAAAGGTTAAGGCCATGATTTTGGGTCAAAGTTAATCTCAACTTCACAAACATTTCTTACTCTGGCTAGCTTTAACTTGTGCCAAGGGAATTTTTCAAAACATATAGAAGCCCCAATCTCTGAGCATGGAGGATATTTTATGAGTGGCTTTGTGGCTCTGTGAATCTCCACCACTTTTACAGACACTTGTGTGAATAATTGTTTCTATAATAAGTAAATACCACAACAACACAGAAAGCAAAAAATAAGCCTGTTTCTGTTGATAAACCAAGAAATGGTCTGAAATTGAACTCTTGAGGTGTGATTTTGACTTATTCCTTTGGGTACTCAGAGGTAAATAGTACTTGCTAATCACTTCCAAACTAGCCAATCGGCATGTGCAAAAAGTACTATTTACCTGTGCGGGGGGGGGGGGTTGCATAACACCTTTAAAAGTTACATACCGCAGCAATGGAAGGAAAAGCGTACTGTGATGCAATGTAACCAAATGTGAATGTTGCAATTATTGACAACAGGAAGTTGATTATTGAAGACAACTGTTTGCCACCAGAGCGAACTGAAAGGAAAAACATGATTCACAGTTTTAGCATGTGTTGGTTAAAACAAATTGGTCACAGATATGAATTACTATGAATAACCCACAAGGAAATTAATAGTGATATCAGCCAAATGTTTCACAGATTTAAGTGATATTGCAAAAGAGAAGACTGAGCTTAAATTACAGCTCACCTGAAAGGATTATTTCTCCAACATGAATTATTTCATTAAATTTTTATCAGATTCCACCACAGGACAACCAGAACCCACCAAAATTTGTATCACTCTCACCCTGTGGCTCTTAAATACAGTTTGTAGTGGCACCCAATTAGTATCTTGGAGACATGGGTTTGAATCACATTGAAGCTAAAATTTTTTAAGCCTCTTTTCTGCAGTTGCCATAATTGTAGCTCACCAACAAGGCCCATTTCTCCACTTGAGTTTCATCTGCACATTTAGATGATGTAATTAATTTCAATAAAATTGTCAACACTCACCTTCTTGTCCAAATTGCATTCCATCAGTTTGATGCCACTACAGAGTAAAACAAAGAAAACCGGAGTTAAGAACACACAAGCTCCAAAAAATTCACAATTTCTTAGCAGACCAAAAAGGGCTTGTGAAGACACAAATGTTACTTTTTGGTACAAAGAATGTTCTATTCTTACATTTGATTTTAGGAATTCCTTTTGATGTTCTAAACCAACATTTCATAATTGGGCATGTAGGAATTATGGTTTCAAACTATGTAACCACCCCCCAAACTGCAAACATTACAATATTGAAAGTTTCAGCTCTAACCCTTTACACCCTAATATCAGTATGCATATTCTCCATACTGTTCTCTAAACATTTCCTAAGATGCCAACATGGAGAATTTGTCTAACAATCAAGAGTTTATTTAGTGGGTGATCAGCTCCTTTAATCTCCTGACCTTAATTTTTGATTCAAGGATGATATGGTGAGGAGAAATTAGATGCCAGTCATTCTTAGGGGTTAAAGGGTTAAATTCAGATCAGTCTACTCATTTTTATACCATCCCACCACTCTGCCTCAGACAAAGTAAAATATAATTATTCTCAGGCTACCCTTGGGAAAAAAATGCTAATAAAGTCAAGATCTTGGTGGTCTCTTATCAGGAATTTGCCTTTGCTTGGTTCCCCTGTGCCCTAATGTCTCAGCCCTACCAAGTTCACAGTTATTTTAATTACTTCTATTAGTTTATGACCTTAAATGACTCCCATAGTGGTAAGATGCAGACACTGATACTAGGTGTCGCAAGATAGAGAAAATAACATTATGTTTGAAAGTAAGTTTTCAGTGACGTAAAGTATTACAGAAGGAAAATCACTATTTTCATTCTAACTGAAGTAGCATAAAAATTATTTGTGCTATCCCTATAAAATGTGAATTACAAGAACAATCTCTCTAACTCTCTCAATGAACTAAAGTAAGTATAGACTTGATAACGATTGAGCAATTTCAAAAAAACTCTACAGTGCATCATTATAAATCAATAATGGATATGTTATCATTAATTAGGTGACAAGAAGTTGACATAATGTGTCATCAATCTTGCTTCTTCCATTTTACTCTCAGCTTTATATCTCATGAAGTAAAAAAGATACAAATATGAAATTTTCAGAATCTAGTAGATCTTTATTTCCTTTTTTAGTAGATAAGAAATTTTCAGGAAATTGAAGAGAAAATGATTTTTTTTCCTTCCATGATACCTTAACTGTACATGGAATTGCAAAGGCCTCAAAGCTACCAAAAGGGAAAGTATGCCCCAGAAAAAAGTAACCTTAAACGACGCTCTGGAAAAGTTTGCACATAAAAAATTTACCCTTTACATGTAATGCAACTTGAGACTCCAACTTGTAACACAATCATTCAAAAATTGTGCTTAAAACATGATAGGGGTGGCCACTATTTTGACAAAAAGTCACAATCATCTGGGCCTGATATGCTTCAAATGGGAAGGAACTAAAACATTTGTTTCATGATATTATCTACTCTGGTCGTCACCCTAAAGAAAAAAACATAATTTGACACAAGAATATCTTATTGCACAAGTTACCAAGAGCTGGGAAACAATGGAGTTAGATTATCATTTGTTTCAAAATAATGTTATCAGCTGAACAATCAGGTTACTAAGGAAAATTCAAGGTTAAAGCATCTGTATACAAATTTTTAGTATGTTGAAGGTAATTTGCCAACAGCAAAGTTACCCTTTTGATCTCAAAGCCTGACCACTGCCATATTTCATTTACAGTACTTCTATGAACAAGTGCCCATGAGCTGATAAGGGTCTTACCCCAAATAGGTGGCCATGCCGTCAGCAATAATGTAAAAAAAGCACCCCTATCAAATAAGCACCCCCCACCTCCTTCACTTTCTTAAATGGTTGATATAGAAGTAAAACCTGTTTCTACTACCACTTTATTTAACACTCGTTTTAGCTTTGCCTACAGCGGAATCAGTACAAGAGAATAATAAGCCCACCACTCTTTCCTATAAATGCCCCTCCTTTTAATCAAAATTTTGAATAAGCACTCAGGTGCTTATTTGAGAAAATATGGTATGTACTCTTTCATGCGGTAAAGACAGTTATGTTTCTGGAGCGACCTTTTCCCTCAAGCAAGAAAATTTCAGGATTATACACTACCTTTTGATCAATATTTGAAACCATTCTTTCATACTCCGCTTTTTCTTGTTTTGCTTTTAGTTTCTTAAGACGTGCTACAAGCTCTGGACTCTGAATGAAAAAAAAAACTAACGTTATTCACATTAGAAAATTTGGATAGATGTGTACATGTAAAGTAAAATTTACGGTCTGATGAAAAGGCAAAGAAGAGGGAGTCAATGGCTAAATTCAAACTGGGCATTTAAGAGACTTTTCAGTGATTACAATATAAATTATTTTATCACCTACCTTTTCTGGTAGTTTTAGTGGCTCTACATAAACTTCACTTCCACAAAGCAACTCGTGTAAATACATATTTGAGCTTGAATCTGGAAAGAAACAAAATGAAATACTCTTAGATAAAAAAAAAAACATTTAATCGTTTGTCTCACGATGTAAAAGTCAGGCTATCGATTATATTGATTGTGACGTTTCGCGATCGACTTCTATACTGCAAATCTTCTAGGAATACTCTTTTTTAAAGAAAGGTTCCTTCCTACCGATGGCTAAGAAAGTAAAATTTATGAACTCTCTGAGTATGAAAGATCCCAAGATCATGTTCTAAAGAGCTTGTAAGTTGACTAAAGAATTATTGCTTATTTGAGTTGAATTATTTTACCTGAATCATGCTTCTCTCGGACGCATTTCCAAAGTTGCTTCACTAACTTAAACGGAATAGGAACTTTGCAGACCCCTTGCGTGGAATTTTGTTTCTCCAGAGAAACTTCTGTATATTGTGATAGTCGTTCGGCGAGATCCTGTGGAATATGATCGTATTTGATGGCATTTACGATGGTGTTTTGGATGTGGCTTGTCAAAACAACATCTACCGCCATACTTGTTTCGGGTAGGTACGTCAT